AAGAATATTTCAAACCTGAATAGAATATCTCCAAAACGAGTGATTTGACAAACATTGCTTAAGAGACAAAATTAATGGATAAATTTAATGGTATTTTATAAGATACACCTATCTTCTCCGAAAATGCCAGAGCCGTAGTAAATATTTCCTATTATGGGTCCAGGTACTTCAGTTTCTACGTCTCTGGTTTAGTTTGGGCCGGGACACTCTGTGTGTAAAAAGCTGATGATGTGATCACTGAACGTCTAAAATCTTTACTGAGTATCTTTATCCGCTCCATAGGTATATTATATATTTTTTTAAATTTCGTAACTAAAACTTATTTATCCTGTATCTCAGTAGGGGAGCATATTTAGACCCATATTTATAGTAACTTTTTTTGTTATTTTTGGATGTACTTTCTCACCTAAACATATTGGCACGTATTTCTGAAACACTCGGTATAGTTTGTTTCGGCCAGACAAATTCTACGAACTTCTAGTAGATCTACGGAAACTTCCTTAAAAATCGCCCTGTATAGGGCACTGACAGCAGCTGTCCCGTAATTTCGATCCGGAAAATTTTTGAGACAAAAAGCGAGATAACTGAGGTATTTACTATGGAAATTGACCCAGCGGGGTCAGGAAATGGCGCTTCCACCATGGCGATCGAGACGGAGTCGAAGGAGCAGACCGTAGAGGAGTTGAGAGCTGAATTGGAGATGGTTCGACAGGAGCTGTCAAAAAAGGACGACGATAAGAAAACCAATGAAAGATTGATGATGATCATCGAAGCCCAGCAGCGGACAATTAACGACTGACAGTTAAATTAGACCTCCTACTGAAAACCCAGGTGCCTTTCCATCTAAATATTACACATTCTCCCCAAACACTGCAACAAAATCCCAGTAAAGACAAAGCTGTCAATCTTAACGAGACCGTTAAATAATTCAAGCGATATTTCCACTGTCGACGATACACTCCCTGACGGTTTTATGAAGGTTAAGCCCCGTGAAACGCGACAAAACAAGACCGACACGACAGGCTTTCCTCCTCTCCCTCGACCAAAATCGCAGTCTGAAACGTCTCGTTCAACTGCAAGCGACTCAAATAAACAGCCTGTGCCTAATCTATCGGTTACTTCTTCGTCTTCGACATCTCAGGTATCAGAAGACACGACTGCACAGCCCCCACGCAATGTAAGTGTTACCCCCCATCCTTCTTTGCGATGCTGCGAGATGGCGAGGCGTAAATCACAAGTTTATTTCTTTGGGCATCAAATTTGAACTCGCGGATGCAGGAATCAGGATAATTCCCAAGTCCGAGAATAATTACCGCAGGATTATTCGTCTCTTCAGGGAGGAGGAGGGGCCCCACCACACTTTCCCTCTACCCTCGGAGAGGAACATTCATGCTATAGTCAGAGGAGTACCTGCGACGCTTTCGGAAACGGAGATCAAAGAAGAGTTGCAACAGAGGGGATATTCCCCCTGCACATAATTCGCCTGAAATGCGGTGGTAGTCATACTCCCCAAGATAGAAAAATCTCAGCAGCTGTTCAACGAACATGACCTGCTAAGTTCAAGTTCAAAAGAACTCAAGACTCATCGGGCAGTGTCACCGCTGCCAAAAATATGGACTTGCGTAATCTTACTGCACTGAACCACCTAAGCGTCTAAAATGTGCTTCTGACCACATGACCCACTTATGCCCTCAAACAAAACAAGAGGAACGAAAGTGCGCGAACTGTGGAGGGGGGCACCCAGCGAATAGCCGAACTTGCACATTTGTCCCTAGAAAAACCCGACCTGCCCCCTCTGTGGGATCTTCTGCGAACACGCAAAATGTGGACCTGGCAACCGCGCTAAGGTCCTTACAGCAGATGATAGGTCCTGTGATTAGCGCAACACAGGCTTTGCAGGCGATCTTTCCTGCAAATGGCTAGGTGCAATAGACGACAGCCTGCATTTATGAAAATTCTTTTCTGGAATTGTTTGGATCTAAGGGACATTCCCAGAAAGCGGGAATTTCATCAATCTCTTGTGGACGAAAGTATAGATGTGGCCTTGCTGCAGGAAACATTACATAATCCGGGAGATCGTCTAGCTTTCCCGAATTAGCTGTTAGATTGACTGGACGCGGTGGTGGCCTGGCAGTGATAGAGAAACGCGGTATTGACTACCACAGAAGCACAAACGCTGAGATGCAGAGCATCGAAGCGGCTTCCGTGGTGGTCAATATGACGGGAGGTGTGCCGTTAAAAATCACATCGGCGTATGCCAGGTGTGTATCAGGCTGCAAGAGGCGGATCTGGAATACCCATAGACTACTCGGGTCCACTTATTGTGGCAGGGCACTTCAACTGTAAACATCAAGCATGGCATTCTAGGTTAAATTCCACCAGTGGGATCCGATTCTACAACCATGTGATACGAAATGGCTACCTCATACATAGTACTGAGGAGCCGACCCACCACTCACTTAATCACCTTCAGGCACCTGATGTTCTAGACTTTGCATTGTCCAAAAACTGTAGTTACAGTATCACTTCTCGAATCATGTATCCCGTCGTTTTGGAAGTGGGTAATGAGCAGATCTTTGGGGATGAAATCCCTCCAAGGAAACGCATTGATTGGGAGCTATACAAGCCGCTCCTCAGAGAGTTCCCCAACATTCCGATCATAGATGATGAGAACGGTATACATGCGGCTCAAGCAGAGTGGACAAGTTTTGTTCAGCAAGCTGTGCAGCGTGCAGCTGTACTTCCCGTGCAGTGACATGGCAGACCTTTTCTGCCAGCAGACATTCGTCAGAAAATTTCTGATAAAAGAGCTGCAATTAAGCAAGCGAAAAGGTCTTGTCATTCTGATGCCATTCGCAGAGCGATGAATCTTGTTCATGAAGTAAGAAATGCTTTTCATAAATTCCGCAATGAGCAATGGAACGACTTTCTGGCGGGGATGCTTGACTCAAGCATTCCTCTCTGGAAGGTGGCGAAGTCGCTCAAAAACGGAAAGCTTGAACAAATCCCACACATCCACGGTCCTGGAGGCATTGTCTTCAGGAGGTTTTTCGCCGATACCATGGAAAGACAGTTCTCTCCCAACTATGATCTTGATACTGACCTCGACGAGGAGCAACACATCGTAAGATCTGTCAGGAGATATTTTAAGGCCAGCGGCGTCAGTGACAGTCGCGCTATCGTTGGTGATTTTTCTTCATCAGAAGACTCTTTTTCAAAAGCTTCTTCAACCGAAGATCTACTTAGCACATCAGCGGCATCTCCTGAGATCCCGCATTGCACACCAGCAGAGATTCAAGGTCATATTGGAGACCTTAAAGGGCGTAAAGCACCTGAGGAGGATCAAATCACTAATAAGGCGCTGAAGCTGCTTTCGCGGAAGTCCTTAACTTATCTCGTGGCAATAGTCAATGCCATGCTAAGGATCCAGTACCTCTCATCCGCGTGGAAGACCGCTGAAGTTATAATGATTCCAAAGAAGGTGGGTTCGATATTTCTCCAGGATTATCGTCCCATTAGCCTGCTGTCAGCTCCGTCTAAGCTCGCTGAAAAGGTGATTCTACGTCACCTTGAAAATTTCTGGTCAGATCACCACGTGATTACTGTCGTGCAATTCGGTTTTCGGTCTGAACATAGTACGGAGCTACAGGCGGTTAGGCTGGTGGAACGATTAACCAGAGGATTCACCCTTAACGAAAGTACTGGCATCTTGCTTTTGGATGTCTCAAGAGCATTTGACAAGGTGTGGCACGCCAGCCTCCTATATAAAGTTATCCAAAAGGGCTTCCCTTCTTGGCTTCTAAAACTACTGAAATCCTTCCTTGAAGGTAGGAAATTTCGGATCAACGTTGACAATGTCCTGTCGAGAACACGGCTGATTACAGCCGGCGTCCCTCAGGGTTCGGTCCTTGCACCTATCCTTTACTCACTGGACATCCATGACGTCCCTAGTCCCAGCAACTGTGAAGTCTATCTCTTTGCTGACGATACTGCATTGGTGGCTCAGTCGTGGTCTGGTGACCTAGTCCATGACAAGCTGCAAAGTGCGGTGGAGGAAGTATTAGGTTGGGCGGATCGGTGTCTAATTAAAATTAACCATTCGCAGGCAATCTACTGTACAAAAAGGGGTCGCGGCGTTCCGTCTGAAGTTTCAATGAATGGACTTCATATACTGTGAGAATCCTCCGTTAAGTACAAAGGGATGACTTGGCGGAACCATATAGAAGCGCTAAAAACTAAATTCCAAATTACGTTTCGACAGCTTTACCCATTATTATGTAAACGTTCAAAATTAAGTTTGATTAACAAGATTCGACTCTATAAGGTGGTCATAAGACCAGCAATCACTTACGCATGTGCAGCTTGGTGTTTTATTGCTAAAGCACACATGCGAAATCTGCAGGTTCTGCAAAGCAGGACGTTACCCAGTATTGCTGACGCCCCATGGTATATCTCTAACGAAACTCTACATAGAGAGCTCGCTGTCCCTTACCTAAAGGACTACATTAAGCAACAGGCGCAGCGGCGCTATAGCCCAGCGGAATCGCACAGCAACCCTCTATTGCGTCAGTCAGTGGACTACACAGTCGAGCAAGTTCGCAAGCACAAAAGACCGCGGCTCGCACTGTAATCAAAATTAATTCGTGAACATAGAACAACCAAAATTGGAGCATTTTGACAAAAGCTTTAGAAAAAATCGAATATTTTTACACCATATCAAAATCTGTGATGAGATTTTAACAATGCCTACGCGCTGCCTATCCTAAAAGATTATCTCCTTCCCCTTTGCTCTCGTTCCTCCTTCTCTCCTTGCCTTCCCTTTTTTCCTTAAAATTGTCTGGTTGCTGGGTTACCAGACCTGACAGACTTACAAACTGACACTGTGACTCAAGAGCTAAAGTCCCACGGACCGCTCTGAAAACCAACGATGACTTGACTGACTGACTTCCTTAAACTTGACATCCTTGACGTTTGAAGTTTGATTTAAACATTGTAACTACTTTCTTGTGTGGTGCCATCGTATCTAAAATACTCCCCAACGTAAGCGAGTCACGTTTCTTCAACCAAGAATCCATAGCTCTGCAAAATAAACTAATACCTGTAATAGATCAAAGCCTTGCTCGCTTAATCCACAAAAACCATAAAAAATAGGAAATTCTCATTAAGTGAAACGATCTGGACGTCAGAATAGAACAGAGATTGATTTATCTATTACGTGCTCTTAATTTATGTACGCTTTGTTATGGGCTACATCAGGGAGATGAATAGTGCCGTGCCGGCTTATATATAGGCTACTCAAGGATAACTGTACATATACATCCTCTGTCCCTTACATGAGGCTAAATAGGTAGCAACGTTGGGATACATTCATATTATGATGGGATATAATAAGCGGACATAGATTGCTATAATAAAATTATCTAAATACCTTTGCAATCGCGAAAAATTTCGAAGATGAGCTAATATGTTTCTTGGACTGTATATGACATGTACCTACTATGCCATTTTTTAGGGGCGGAAAATTAGATGGTGGAGGTTGAATGGTGTATCCCAATTTTATGTTAATGCACTTCGAAACATTTTGTGCTTAGAACGACAGAAACATGTTTTCGACAAGCGTTCCTGCGTCTGGTGGCTTCAACGGCGCGGCCGGCGTGCCAGTATTCGTATGTGTCCTGCAGATATTGTGCATAGCCGAAGCGACGTTGCCAGATAGACGGTACTACGGGTAGGGCAGAGAACGAATGTTATCGACTGATTGCATGGATCTGTATGACGGATTTGATTCGTTTAATTTCTCTGTTATAACTTTTTCTTAAAGAATCTAAGTTGAACACGTTACCTTCGTCCGTCTAACCAAAGACATGGTCTAGGCCTGGTCTCTGGGACAGCTAAACTATCCTCTATCCTGGATATAAGATCTATGACGCTCTCGTATATCGACAGGGTATAACTTGTGCTTGACATAATCAAGGCCATATTCAGCTCAAAACGGAAGGGAGGCACCTTAAAGGAATGTTTTGCTGAAAACATATCAACTCTGCTTGACATTTTTCCTTCTATTTCCATTTCATTTACATAGAGTCTTCTATGGCGATTTGACAATTACTATGGATATTGAAAACTACTAGTATTACCTTTTTAAAACATTCAATCAAATATTGCGTGAAATGCTTTTTTAAGTGATAATTTAGTTCTTAGCAATACTTGAAAGCAACACTTGAGATAATATATGACAAATGTTTGCAATACTGCTAATTCTATATATGTATCTGTTCTTTTGGCGTACATATCCCTCAAAATCGAAACAGGGTAGTCATGTTTTTAGTCAAGTCAATAGGCCAGTCAAGTTCTGTAATTCGGAAAAACTTCAAATGGAAGAATAATTTTCAGATATAACATAATAGATACATGTTTTGTAGGGTTTGTCAAGTAATCCTTGGTCCGCTAGTTCATACAAGAAAATATTTGTTGATCGGTTCAGTTGCGATAGAGCAATCCTCAAAAAACTTATTAATCGTGGGACCTTCTATAACTTGGAAAGTAACTGGACTTTGAACAAATTTTGAAAAGCCTATCTAATTATACCAGTATAATGATCAAAAAGTATATAACTCCGCCAATCTTGACTTTGTCTGTTTCTTCTGTTTCTGATGATTTTGAATGCAATCCAAAATTTCCTTAGAGGAGACAAAATGTCGTCAAGAGTTTAGTTGACGGATACAAAGATTGTGAAATCCGACAAAACACGCTTTTCAAGTTCTAATAACCCAGTCATTTTTGTTTAACTCCAAGAACAATACAAGATGTTCAACTCGAAAATACGTGGAGTGGAATCTGCGTTGAAAAATAGGGAAACTGCTGTTACAATATGTTATCTCGAAACGTCAAAACTTATTTGATCAGGCTAACTAGCCAAATGGGAAACCGCGTGGTAAAATGAATGGTACAGAAGGATTTATATATTCTTTAGAGTGAATTCAAATGTCCCTCTTCGCGAAATAGAGAACTTTTTTTTATTAAACCTCGAAGTTGTAAGTCTATGATGGCGTTCTGTGGGAAGTGTAGAGTCAACATGATTAGCGCCATTTTCATATGGTTGCGGGAGAAAAAGGCTGTTATAAGCACATATGCGGATAAATGGCTTCAACCCAAGGTTAGTGTTGGCTTGCTCTGGTATATTTTTGAGTTTAGAGAAAACATATAGATTTACCAAAAAGTTACTTGTATTGTGGAGATCTCATTTTTATCATTTTTATCGACTGTAACGAATATAATATGGAAAAGTAATCTGAATCACTAACATCTACGAAAGCAATGGTAAAAAACAATAGACTATATTTCTAGATAATACGTTAGGTTTCGCGTCTGTGTGATCGTTGGAATCTCTCAACTCATAGGTTTTCTTTAGTTATTATTACGTCCGATAGCACACCGCCTTTCTAATGTCGACTTAAAGCTAAGTTGACTCTCAATTTTGATATTTTTGATGTACCAGAAACACTTGAAACTTGAGTGGAGCTTAAAGGTGGATTCTCTACCCTTAAATGGCTTTGATAACTCGACAGCAAAGTAAATGTTTGAGATATGTATTTTCTTATTGCAGAAGTTAATGAAGATGATGAATCAGATCTGCAATGTGTGTTTTTTTGTGAGTGGGTCAATCACGATCCTCCACTGCGACTCACTGGCCTATTGTGGTTCAGACCTATTTATATTTCTTCTAGCAAATCTGACCTCTAATGTATTATGTAAGGGATCCTCAGCCAAGTCTGCATTACAGAGACATATTTTGAGTTGTGCCTTTAAAAGACTTCGCATAATTTGAGAAATATCTGTTTTCATGTTGTGGTTGATTGACGACAGGCTGGAGTTTTGCTATAATTGGGGATAACGATATTTATTATAATAATTATAAATGTGATCACGTATATCAGTTACCATTATAATTGCTTTTTGAATCACTATGCAACAACTGTGGTGAAATGTGATATATTTTCAAAGACATCCAATACTATAAATATAGACTTGTCGGATGTAAATCTGTCTTACCACAGTTTTGTCGAAATCGGGGTGGTGCAACAAAAACCTAATTTGAGGTTAACCTTAACATAACCTTTGTCTACCACTTACCTGTCAAAGTGACAATGTTATATAAACATAAGAATGCTTATCGGTGGAAAGGTCTACCTTCATTAGGCTTGCATTTTGCAAATTATGCAAGTATCATATCCTGAAGTGGTCTCACAATTATCTGCAAATACTCCCACTTTTCAAAAATACCACAATGAACACAAATGTAATGACAGAACTAACAAAAAATTACCTTATGGCATGTGCACTTTCATGCTGATTGCAGGCGAGATTTTGAAGACAAACAAACTAGGAATGCCCTTTCTATCTAGTCTGAATTTGTTGGGTGTCGTCATATGAAACTGAAGTCACAGTCAAGCTTGAATATGACGATGATGACATTATTATAACTAAATTGTTGCAAATGCGGATGGTAGAGATTAGAGATACATAGTTATAAGTTCATTAATAAAAGAGGAAATATAGGACATAAATCCAATAAGTTATCGCGAAGTGAGCTCGATTGCTAATTGCTTTCAGCACACTTTGATGAGCATATTATAATGCAGGAAGCTCTCATTTAGATAAGGATGGAGAATGCCATTAAGCACGAGAGAAAAAATAAAGAGTATGTGCCAGATCTATAGATTATTCAGTGGATCTATTAAAACGATACCAGTTTTCTAAATCATGTGTAACTTCGAAATATTACATCTATATACGTATATGTTCTAGGGTACCCCCTACGGAGATACGGACCCTATACAAGGTGTCCCGAAATTGAAGAATAATCCTGTAACTGTTGCTAGGTCACGTCAAGACATACTGGATAGTAACACTTTGTTTTAGTAAAAATCTTATAGTTTTCGAGATTTTCAGCATTCAGTTAGTTTTTTAGTCTATCCGGTGCCATTTCTACAAATATCATTGTTTTGGATCAGGTTTGTTTTGAAACACTCAGAATTCAGCATTCCATCTTGTCCAGTATTATTTTGGCTCAAAGTTGTGAAAAACCCATATAAACGTCATGTCAAAGTTTAAATTTGAATCCTTCTTCCTTCTGACTTCGACACCCTGTAGAGAGGATCAAGTACGATCACTGTGCTAGTAAATCAAAAAAGTTGTCCATCTATTGGCAATATTTAAGTGATATTATTGTTATTCGCCCCCTGCTGTTTTTTTCGTCTTATTGCAGTTATAATGGAGGAGGGCCAGTTTTCGTGGATAGCTGAAAATAACAATAAATGGCTTGGATACAAAAAATGGAACGGATTGATGTTGAAAGATAATTTACATTCAAGATATTAATGTAATGAGCACCATTGATCGTTATGCATGACCTATATTTTTACTAAAAACCTTTTTCAAGCTATAAAAATGACCGCTAGCATGCTCGGGGCTGGCTCAGGTTTGGAACCCAATTCTGTTACTGATGTCAGCTCAGCTTGGTATACAAATTATTTATCTAAATCAAACCCGATAAAAAATGTAGTGGATTTAGGTCGATTTTAGTGGCGATGAAGTAAGCCGCGCAGCTTGATCCACCTTGGTGAATGTTGAATTTGTGTAATTGAAGTGGTTTCGATCTGACCTAGTGTATGTGCCGGAGTACCATTTAGTATTCTAACATCTTATTGGTTGTTTTCGTGCTTTTCAGATTATTACAGAAATGCTTAGAAATAAGGAACACGATTGATGATTTATCGGTCTTTATTCGATTTTCTATAGTAGATGCTTAAACTGGCCAACATTGACCCTAAGACAGGTACATGCCCTGCACCTTTTGACAAAAGATTCCTTATGTTACGAGAACAACCAATTTGCGAAATCTTCTCAGATGCCCATCTGATTTCCTCACGTAGATCTCTTCCAGAAACCACCTCTGGTAGACCATGCAAGATTCACAAAGGTAGATCAGGCAGGCTGCCTTATTTCATGGCCACCAAGATCGTTGGACCTAAATCCATTCATTTCTTCATCTTGGTAGCTTTAGAGAATCTGTATAC